GGTGGCTTATTATGCACAACAAAAGAAAGCTGTTATTTCCATTCACAAAAAGTCAGCAAAGACTCCATGCTTCAGACATATTTGCAGAATGGCTAGCAGCAAAACATGAGGTCCAAATTTCAACAATGAATTATTGTTTTCTTTATTTTATAATAAGGAATTTACTTTTTATCTGACATTTTGTAACTATTGTTCTTCATGATAACTTGTAGTTTACCTGAATCACTGGAGCTAGTTAACCAAAATGATAGGAAAGTTGCCTATCAGGTTCACATGGTTTTGCCAAGATGAAAGTTACAAACCCATATCTCAGGAACATTAAAGTCTCTATCTATCTGCGAGATGTTTCAGGCAAACACTGAAATGATCATAACAATGGACAACTCTACAGAATGTTGTATTTACCTCAGTCTTTACGAACACAGATCAAGTCCAGATGGGAAGGATGATGAATACTTCAAGCAATACTTTTGAACAGCTTCTTTTAGAATAATATAAAAGATTTCCTATTGATTCACAATCATGTGTAATGACCATAGCTGATATTTGTTCATTCACCCAGTCAGGCAAGTTACAGTGAAATCTTATTTGTCTGACCCCAACATGGGGTCAAACTTATCCTGGCCGTGCAGTTGGGCAATGGTTGATGTTGAGCCCTGCTCTAAGAACACGACAAATTTCACTATCTGGACAATAACAGTTGGGCAATGGTTGATGTTGAGCCCTGCTCTAAGAACTAGACAAATTTCACTATCTGGACAATAACAGCTGGGCAATGGTTGATGTTGAGCTCTGCTCTACGAACTAGACAAATTTCACTATCTGGGCAATAAAAGTTGGGCAATGGTTGATGTTGAGCCCTGCTCTGAGAACTAGACAAATGTCACTATCTGGACAATAACAGTTGGGCAATGGTTGATGTTGAGCCCTGCTGTAAGACCTAGACAAATTTCACTATCTGGACAATAACAGTTGGGCGATGGTTGATGTTGAGCCCTGCTCTAAGAACTAGACAAATTTCACTATCTGGGCAATAACAGTTGGGCAATGGTTGATGTTGAGCCCTGCTGTAAGAACTAGACAAATTTCACTATCTGGACAATAACAGTTGGGCGATGGTTGATGTTGAGCCGTGCTCTAAGAACTAGACAAATTTCACTATCTGGATAATAACAGTTGGGCAATGGTTGATGTTGAGCCCTGCTCTAAGAACTAGAAAAATTTCATTATCTGGACAATAACAGTTGGGCAATGGTTGATGTTGAGCCCTGCTCTAAGAACTAGACAAATTTCACTATCTGGGCAATAACATTGAAGAAGTAGACGGTTCAATGTCTGATATCATATTTCTGTGTTTCTGATATTATTTGATTTACTTTGTACTTCATACTCGACTGTTCATAATATGACAGGCATTGAAGAGCTACTGGTGTGTAAATGATTGTACACCCTGGGCATTACAGCGTATCACACTTACCTCCGCATCCACTAACGTTAATGTGAAGTGCCTCTTAGCACGGGAGGCCAGGGTTACCACATAGAAAATAAATTATACTGTAAGATCGAGATATGTTTTGACTGAGCAAATACTACAGGAGCGGTATTAACGCCTCATTCCTGCCTTACTATTACCAAAATGTTGGAGTCACTTTAAACCTAGACTATGTTAGCCAAAACTTTGCCTGAATTAAAAGTAAATTTGAGATGAGCATAATATTTCAAAATGTTGAAAGAACAGGCTTTAAGTGGATGTTGTATTTGGCATTTCGTATTTCATTATTAAGTATTGATGGTGTGACTGAATGTGATATTCCTCCGTTTTCTTATGCATTTTTTCATTTCTCTCATTTAATCAGTCAATTTTTTTATCAAGCATGTAAAATTCTATTAGAATTAAATGACATTCGACTTCAGCAAAAATACAGTGAAAAAAGAACAGAACTGCACACATTAACCCTTTCCCCCTACGTAACTTGAGTAGACTCTACCATGCATTGATATGGATGAGTTCATTATGGTCTAAAGTGGTGAAAGGGTTAAAAGAGCATATGTCATGTGACCGGCTGTATATTTTAGCAGTCTGCTGAAATCTCTACTAAACCTATTATTAATGGACTTCTGAACTGAGAAAATTTGTGATTTTTGTAAGTAAAGTTGTGATTTGATCGCAAAGATAAAACTAGTCCAGACTCACCTGCAAAGTGGTGGTACGGCGGATATCTGAAAGGGACTTATTTGTCTCTCTGGAAATATTTGAGAAGGGTCGATTGAACTATGACAGATAGTGTGATGCCATAATACCATAATCTCTATAGGATATTTACTTTATGAACTTAACTACTAAGTAACTCAAATGTGTGTTCATTTCTGAAAAGATGACAAAATAAACAGCAGTGCTGGATCATATTATTTTTTCCAAAAAAAACCCTACAATTTCATGATATCCCCTTGCATCCAGAGGTAATGAAACCCCTCACTCTCGCAAGAAAACAACCAGGAATAATGAAGTATTGCTTCGTTTATTGTATCAATTTTTTTCTCTCGGTACAAAATTGTAATTGAAAACTTTGAAACTCTTTTACAGATTTCAGATGTGTATGTGTTGAAACTGTTTACTGGTTTCACCTCGGTTCACGGTTCACGTCCTGTTTTCAACCTAGGAGTATTATTTCTGGTTTCTCTGACCATTCAGTTTTTAGGGCAGAAAACAAGGAAAGTAATTCAGTATGTTTTGTTTCTATCTTTTTGTACTTAAACATGTGTTATCATTAAAGAGCTTCTACCAGCAGGCACCTGCCCGAGAGCTACCCTAGCCTGTTAAAGAAAATGAACACGTTCTTGTAATCAACATTTTGTAATCTGCCCAGAACTGTGGCTTGGTATCGTTTTCTACAAGTCATAAATCATAATAACTGAATGTAGAGGTTCTTGGTATAAATGACAGAAACTTCATACTTATTGGACTTATTGACAGATACTTCAATACTTATTGGACTAATTGACAGATACTTCATACTAATTAGACTTATTGACAGATACTTCAATACTTATTGAACTAATAGACAGATACTTTATACTTATTGGACTTATTGACAGATACTTTATACTTATTGGACTAATTGACAGATACTTCATACTTATTGGACTTATTGACAGATACTTCAATACTTGTTGGACTAATAGACAGATACTTTATACTTATTGGACTTATTGACAGATACTTTATACTTATTTGACTAATAGACAGATACTTTATACTTATTGAACTAATTGACAGATACTTCATACTTATTGGACTAATTGACAGATACTTCATACGTATTGGACTAATTGTCAGATACTTCATCCTTTTTGGACTTATTGTCGATACTTCATACTTATTGGACTAATTGACAGATACTTCATACTTATTGGACTAATAAAAAAATACTTTATACTTATTGGACTAATTGACAGATATTTCATACTTGTTGGACTTATTGACAGATATTTCATACTTGTTGGACTTATTGACAGTTACTTCAAATTTATTGGACTTATTGACAGATACTTCATACTTTTTGGACTTATTGACAGATACTTCATACCTATTTGACTAATAGACATATACTTTATACTTATTGGACTAATTGACAGATATTTCATACTTGTTTGACTTATTGACAGTTACTTCAAATTTATTGGACTTATTGACAGATACTTCATATTTATTGGACTAATTGACAGATACTTCATACTTGTTGGACTAATAGACAGATACTTCATACTTTTTGGACTAATTGACAGATACTTCATACTTTTTGGACTAATTGACAGATACTTCATACTTTTTGGACTAATAGACAGATAGTTCATACTTTTTGGACTAATTGACAGATACTTCATACTTTTTGGACTAATTGACAGATACTTCATACTTTTTGGACTAATAGACAGATACTTCATACTTATTGGACTAATTGACAGATACTGCATACTTATTGGACTAATAAATAAATACTTCATACTTATTGGACTTATTGACAGATACTTCATATTTATTGGACTAATTGACAGATACTTCATACTTATTGGACTTATTGACAGATACTTTATACTTATTGGACTAATAGACAGATGCTTCATACTTTTTGGACTAATAGACAGATAGTTCATACTTTTTGGACTAATTGACAGATACTTCATACTTGTTGGACTAATAGACAGATACTTCATACTTTTTGGACTAATTGACAGATACTTCATACTTGCTGGACTTATTGACAGATACTTTATACTTATTGGACTAATAGACAGATGCTTCATACTTTTTGGACTAATAGACAGATAGTTCATACTTTTTGGACTAATTGACAGATACTTCATACTTACTGGACTTATTGACAGATACTTTATACTTATTGGACTTATTGACAGATACTTTATACTTATTGGACTAATAGACAGATGCTTCATACTTTTTGGACTAATAGACAGATACTTCATACTTATTGGACTAATTGACAGATTCTTTGTACATTGTTCCTCAGAGTCTCCTCCAATATTTAATATAGACTTTGTGAATCCTTTAATAACTGTACACATAGTAATTGGAGTTCTGACGACCCCTATCTCAATGAATTTTTAATTTAAACTTCTTTATTATATGGTGCACTGTTTGGGGTCTGTTGACTTAAAACTGATTTAACATGTATTCAGTCATAAAATATTGTCCACAGTAAAATAAATTCAACAATTTAAAAAAAAATCATCAATATATCCACATTTTGTATAATGTTTTTGATACCTTTATATAAAGTCTTTTGTTGAAATAAGTGAATGAAAATTCTGAAAAAAAATCTTCATAGAAATTTGCTGCAATAGTAATAAGGAAACAATGACAAGTAAAAAAACAATTGATAAAAATTGTTGGTGACAATATAATTACAAAAGGAAATATACACTCAAATGAGAGTAGGATGTACTTGACTGAAGATTATTTCAAGAACTAAGTCTCTTACCAGGATTGTGGTTTAAACTCCAGGAATACGGTAACTATATAACGGTTTTCCAGAATTCCATGAAAACACTTGCTTCAGGATAGGACGCAATACGTTTACAGTCCAGTCCAGTATAAATGTATGCTACATGTGCTCACAGGAAAGCTGTGCTCCCTCTTATATACAACTAGACAGTCGACAGCACTTAACAGAGGTCCATATACACTTTCATGAGAAAAACATCATGTTTGATTTTGATGAAAATAAAACAATGTTAGAGCTGTGAGGTAATCTGGCCTACATATCTAGGTGAGCATTCACACCCCTCCATGTGGTAGATCAGGAGCACACACACCCTAGGTCCTGATAGGCATGCAATTTTTCTCACTGAGCACTGGGGGACCACTCACACTGTTGGACCTGCCAGGCATGCAATTTTTCTCACTGAGCATGGGAAACCTTTCACGACCTCGTGCAATATTTTACATGAACATTTGGGGGCTTCCTGACACTGTTGGCATACAAAAATGACTTTGGGATAGGGGACCATTACTAGTAATTGTGGGATTTGGGACCACTCCTCACTGAGCACCACTCACAGTATAAGACCTGCCTAGCATGCTATATTTCTCACTGAGATCTGGGGGATCAATCACACTGTAGGACCTGCCAAGCATGCAATATTTTTCACTGAGAATGGTCAATGGGAGACCCTTCACACCCTCATGCATATATTTTACATGAACATTTTGGGGCTTTCTCTCTGACTGATGGTATAAAATAACCTCCCAAGCATATGATATTTCTCACTGAGCATTGGGGGACCACACACACTATAGGACCTGTCTAGCATACATATTTCTCACTGAGCATTGGGGGACCACACACACTCTAGGACCTTCCTAGCATACATATTTCTCACTGAGCATAGGGGGACCACACACACTATAGGACCTGCCTAGCATACATATTTCTCAATGAGCATTGGGGGACCACACACTATATGACCTGCCTAGCATACATATTTCTCACTGAGCATTGGGGGACCACACACTATAGGACCTGCCTGGCATACATATTTCTCACTGAGCATTGGGGGCCACACACTATAGGACCTGTCTAGCATACATATTTCTCATTGAGCATTGGGGGACCACACACACTATAGGACCTGCCTAGCATAATTATTTCTCACTGAGCATTGGGGGACCACACACACTATAGGACCTGTCTAGCATACATGTTTCTCACTGAGCACTGGAGGATCACACACACTAAAGGACCTGCCTAGCATACATGTTTCTCACGGAGCATTGGGAACCACACACACTATAGGACCTGCCTAGCATACATGTTTCTCACTAAGCATTGGAGGGCCACACACACTATAGGACCTTTCTAGCATACATATTTCTCACTGAGCATTGGAGGACCACACACACTATAGGACCTTTCTATGATACATATTTCTCACTGAGCATTGGGGGACCACACACACTATAGGACCTGCCTAGCATACATATTTCTCAATGAGCATTGGGGGACCACACACTATATGACCTGCCTAGCATACATATTTCTCACTGAGCATTGGGGGACCACACACTATAGGACCTGCCTGGCATACATATTTCTCACTGAGCATTGGGGGCCACACACTATAGGACCTGTCTAGCATACATATTTCTCATTGAGCATTGGGGGACCACACACACTATAGGACCTGCCTAGCATAATTATTTCTCACTGAGCATTGGGGGACCACACACACTATAGGACCTGTCTAGCATACATGTTTCTCACTGAGCACTGGAGGATCACACACACTAAAGGACCTGCCTAGCATACATGTTTCTCACGGAGCATTGGGAACCACACACACTATAGGACCTGCCTAGCATACATGTTTCTCACTAAGCATTGGAGGACCACACACACTATAGGACCTTTCTAGCATACATATTTCTCACTGAGCATTGGAGGACCACACACACTATAGGACCTGTCTAGGATACATATTTCTCACTGAGCATTGGGGGACCACACACACTATAGGACCTGCCTAGCATACATATTTCTCACTGAGCATTGGAGGACCACACACACTATAGGACCTTTCTAGCATACATATTTCTCACTGAGCATTGGAGGACCACACACACTATAGGACCTGTCTAGCATACATATTTCTCACTGAGCATTGGGGGACCACACACACTATAGGACCTGTCTAGCATACATATTTCTCACTGAGCATTGGGGGACCACACACACTATAGGACCTTTCTAGCATACATATTTCTCACTGAGCATTGGGGGACCACACACACTATAGGACCTGTCTAGCATACATATTTCTCACTGAGCATTGGGGGACCACACACACTATAGGACCTGTCTAGCATACATATTTCTCACTGAGCATTGGGGGACCACACACACTATAGGACCTGTCTAGCATACATATTTCTCACTGAGCATTGGGGGACCACACACACTATAGGACCTGTCTAGCATACATATTTCTCATTGAGCATTGGGGGACCACACACACTGTAGGACCTGCCTAGCATACATATTTCTAACTGAGCTTTGGGGGACCTCACACACTATATGACCTGCCTAGCAAACATATTTCTCATTGAGCATTGGGGGACCACACACACTATAGGACCTGTCTAGCATAAATATTTCTCACTGAGCATTTGCCCATGGGAGAAATTTCACACACTCTTTGAGCTGAGCACAGGGAAAAGGTGGGCTGTTATGTGCACCTTATCAATATTTCACGTTTTTCCTAATCAAATCTTACCCTCAAGTAGTTGTCTCAGCTGGTAACCAATGTTTTTCACCAAGCATTAGACAAGATGAATACACAAAAAATCACTCAATGCTATAGTTTTTCAGAGCAAAGGGAGGTAACTCAAACAAGGAGCTATCATTTGCCTTGTATGTACCCAGTTATTGGGGACATATCTCACACCCCAGGAGCTTTCAAACATCCAGCATTTCTCACTCAGTGTTGGATGCAGATTCAAAACTTTACAGCTGTCACGTATTCAAAATTTCTCCCTAAACAGTTTTCTATTTTCTATAAGATTTAAATCAATTTACTTCCAACAAATATGAAAGTAGACAAATATAACTGTAGCTGTCGGAAGTCCACTCTTTGTTTTCAACAATGACTACCAGGCTTAAGATTAAAATTATCGCAACAGCCAGGGTTGGGTACCTAGCAAAACACCGCCTGAAACAAAAAGTAGACAGAAAAGAGAGGAGACAGGAAAGATTGGAAACGAAAAAGATCCCAAGTGTTATCAAGTCAGTGGAAATTTATTTTCTTTTGGCAGTTACACAGTGAATGTTAATGACATTTTGACATAAAAGCATCCTGAAGCAAGCATTAGGACAATTTACGCAGTCATGAAAATAAAATGTTATGGACCCAGGGATACTCACTGTACATGAACCTGTTCAACAGAATCTGATTTTTTAAATAATTACTTTCATCTGAACCTTTAACAATTCAACCTGAATGATAATAATAGGCAGAAAGTTCTATATAATTATGAAATTTGAGTTTGATTGAGCCTATAGGTGCATTATTTGATAATTGATTTCAAGTTATTTTGTAGAGGGTGGTTTTAACATTTCCATCTTTTTAGAGGTTACTGTTAAAACCATGAACTTATGACATCTGGATAAATGGTGGACAATCGTGATCGGGTTGCTTTGTTTAAAACTGAAACGGCTACAAGTTGTTGTATATCTACTATTAAAATTGATTAGTCAGCTATTCCATGAAGCGATCTTTTTAATAGCTTTCATAAAAACCTGAGTAAGGAAGCATGTCGTGCACATGGTTCAAATTTTAAATCTGTGTTGTCCACATGTTTGAATATAAAACTCTGCATCTTACATATGTTTGTTTGGCATACAACTTGGCAGGTCAGATCACCGTGACCAACATGTGTGCACCAATACTGGTTACGATCTTCAAATGACAAAGTGCACTTAACAGATAAGTAGACATTCATTAAGGTCATAGGAGTGTATTGCTAAGCGGAAATAGGAAGTACATCCCTAGTTGAAAACCCAATTTCCGCATATTCTAATGTTTAATATTAATCTGATGAATATTGTATGTTGTTTATTGACAGAACAGTGTGTCCTTCCAATATTAAAGTATTTCAAAGCAATCCGGGCATTAATTCAGTTGTTTTTTAATCAATGTGTCACATGTGTCCATTTTTCTGTACTTCAGGAAACTGGCTGCCTATTTCACTACTGTGAAGTTTTTTCAAGAACGATAACTCTGACATGCAATTACTATGTGTATATGGTTATATTGTAAAATGTCAACTTTTAATCGTTTATAGATAATTAATTTTTCACAATTTCAGCATTTATGAAATTGATACACATTAATGCAATACGAAGCTATGTTGATCAGTATCATTTTTATTGACATTATTTTGCAAAAAATTGTATGTGTCATTTTTTTCTTCAAAATTCACTCTTTTTTACACAAATTTCCATGTAAAATCCCTAAAATTCTCACAACCTATTTTTTTTGGTGGCAGAAAATTTTCTTTACTTCAAAGCAATATAACTACAAAATTTGAAGAAATTCTACTGAGAAATGGCGACACAATCCTATTACCTTAAGGTCTTCCACTTTGTGGTGATGGAGTTTGCTTTTATTGCAGATTTAGAAAGAAACAAGCTTTTACTCTTTAAAAGTAATAAACGAACTTTAAAAACATCAAACTAATATAAAATGAAGCAAATAAATCAAAGATCCGTTTTATTGTAAATCCAAGCATTTAAGCCAATCAGGGTTGTATAAGTAATTAATAATTCAATAATTATGTATTGTCGTCTTTGAATGCAGTCGGACAAAATATTTTCCTTCAAGGTCAGTTTTTGTGACTTATAAACTGTGACTTCAATTCAAATCTCATTAGAAATTTAGAAACTGTAAAACAGGAAAATGTTAATTTCAGTCAAATTCTTGTGAAATTCTTGTGAAATTCTTGTGAAGGACATTTGCAATACTTTTACATGTAGTACTCTAGTGGGCGGACTTAAATAGATGGTACTCTAGGGAATTTTATATCGACCGTAGCCGTTTCTGCCTTAACTTGTATGAAGTGGCTATATTATATAAATTTTACTCCTTGGGATGATCAATGATTGTTACAGACCAAAACTTGTTTTACTCATTTTAGCAGCTGAAACAAATGCCAACAACAACCAACCCATCCTTTTTTTCATCAGTTCATCAATCTGTCAATGTCATTTACTCAAAATTTGAAAGGTTTTCTAGTCCATAGTTTTTTATCACAAAAGC